TGGGGCCTTGCTCCCAGCCAGCGTTTTTCCCATTTCCAGGTAACCCTTACTTTCCCTACTGTTAGGAGTTACGGCTCCCGACACCATATGTTCTCACTCATAAGTGGACCTTGAACAATTATAATACTATAAGAAAGGGATTGGCAGTTGAGGGAAACTGCTAGGGGAGGGAGAGGCATACCTCATCAACAAGGGTACCTGCAAAATCAACGTTTGTGTGTCTAACCGTGAATTGTACCCCACATCTTTATAATAAAAAAGTAAAATAAAATAAAATAAAAAAAAAAAAGTAGAACACAAGGTCCTCCAATATTGTTTAATCTCTCCTTCATCCCTCAAGGGAGTGATTGAGAAAAAAGGAGCCCATGAAGTTTCAAAATTATCAAACTCATATAATAAGAAAGGGCTAACAGTCTTAGCCCTTTCATTATAACAAAAATACTATTCTCCATCCCCAAGCGAAAGGTTGGTTGTCATAATAATTTCTATGAGAATATAAAGGAATAAATTAAAATTTTGGAAAGAATAAATAGATTCTAGGTCCTTAGACCTTAAGGAGTTTTATACGGAAAATGAGATACGAGGAAAACAAAGGTGAGCTAAAAATCAACCTGTAGACTAAGTTCTCTGTCAGTTTATCATGGTCAGTTTCAAATGTCTGTGACAGACTGTAATTTATAGTTGTTTTTAAAATGCATAATATATTCAGTGACTAAATACAACTTTAAATAACAGATATTTACTGAAAAGATTAATTGTTTATTATTTTTTTAAGAGATGGTTTGGTACTCTGTCCCCAGGCTGGAGTGCAGTGGTGCAATCGTAGCTCACTGCAACCTCAAACTCCTGAGCTCAAGCATCCTTCTGCCTCAGCCTCCCAAAGCATTGGGATTACAGGTCTGTACCACCTTGCCTGGCCTATGTTTTTTAAATTTTTATTGTTATACAGCTTTAATAGTTCTAAGTGATAAAAATAATAGAAAAAGCAGCAATTGATCATAATGGGCTACAAATTGTCTTTCACTGCAAGTAATTTTTAAAAAATGAATCAAGTCTGACATGGCAGCTCATGCCTATAATCCCAGTACTTTGGGAGGCTGAGGTGAGAGGATTGCCTGAGCCCCACAGGTTCAAGATCAGCCAGGCAAACTTGGCGAGACCTCATCTCTACAATAAATCAAAAAATTAGCCGGACATGGTGGCAAGTGCCTGTAGTTCCAGCTATGTGGAAGGCTAAGGTGGAAGGATCACCTGAGCCCAGCAGGTCGAGGCTGTGGTGGCCGCGAGCATGCCACTGCACTCCAGCCTGGGCGACTGAGTGAGACTCCAACTCAAAAAAAAAAAAAAAAATGAATCAAGTGGATTCTTGTTTTCAATTGCTTTCTTTAAGGTCTCTCATCTCTCATTTCTTTCCATTCTCTTCTTTCTTCTGTTGCCCATTTTTTTCTGATAGCACCACTTTATCTCTTTTTTAAATATATATTTTATGCTAAGTAGCACAAATAGGCTATTGGCTCCACCTTCAAGTTTCTTTTCATTATTTCTGAACTTTTGGTGGATATTTTTTTTTTTTTTTTTTTTTTTTTTTTTTTTTGG